AGAGAGCATCGGCTCTACGGTCGACGGTATTGCACAGTATGTGGTCGGGTTTTTACTCGATGGAAAGAAGTGCCACAGGTGTCTTTTCCAAGGAGAAAAGTGGGACCAATCCTCACCCATAGCGTACGAGAGTCGAACTATGACGCCAGCTGAAAGAAATTATCCGGTGCATGAGCAAGAGTTGCTTGCGGTGGTAAATGCATTGCAAAAGTGGAAACTATTGCTGTTGGGACTAAAAGTTAATGTAATGTCTGACCACCATTCATTAACACACCTGCTAACTCAACAAAACCTTAGCCGTCGACAAGCACGCTGGCTAGAAACGCTGTCCCAGTTTGATTTAAAATTCAATTACATCAAAGGCGAAGAGAACAGCGTGGCTGACGCTCTCTCGAGGAGCGAAGAAGTCTCGGCTTGTGAAATAGCTGCCTCCCTTGACAAAAACACAATCCAATTGATTCAAGATGGCTATACCAGCGACCCGTTCTGCATGAAAATCAAGAAAACACTACCATTACGAGAAGGTACCGAGTGGATAGGTGGTCTTATCTACGTCGATGGACGACTACTGATACCGGCAACAGGCAACCTACACCAACGACTGATGGAACAGGTACATTCCGCCCTGGGCCATTTAGGAACACTGAAGATGTTAGCAAAGCTGCGTGAACAATTCTTCTGGCCAGAAATGACATCAGAGGTCAAAACTTTTGTGAGTTCGTGCGGTAGTTGCCAACGACTGAAAGCAAGAACAACATTACCATCAGGTCGACTACAAGCTACTGAAGTACCTAAACAGCCAATGGAAGACATAGCCCTGGACTTCATAGGACCGTTCCCAAAAGTCCGAGGGTACGACATGATCCTTTCTTGTACATGCCGACTGACGGGCTTCACAAGAGCAATTCCAGCATGTCAACGTGATTCAGCAGAACGAACAGCCCAACGACTCTTTGGCGCTTGGTTAGCAATCTTCGGAGCGCCTCGAAGCATGATTGGAGACCGAGACAAGGCCTGGAGCTCAAACTTTTGGCGAGAACTGAACTTATTAATGCATGTGAACGTGAACCTGACCACTTCCTACCACCCCCAAGCAGATGGCAGAAGCGAAAAGTCAAATAAGACCATTGTGCAAATCTTGCGACAATTGGTTGATAATTGACACGGCAAATGGTTCAAAGCCCTACCGGCGGTGGAATACGCAATCAACAGCGCCCTCAACGTCTCGACGGGAGTCTCCCCTTTTGAGTTTGTCTACGGCCGAAAACCAAGACTTTTTCCTGTCGCCGGCCGTCTGGACGAAGTTGGTAGCAGCGTGTCACAGTGGATTGCACGTCGTCAAGCAGCGTGGGCACAATATCGGGACAAACTGTGGGCAAGTCGCATCAACCAAGCGGTCCATTACAACAACAGGAGACGGCAAGGTGATACATTGTCAAATGGAGACTGGGTGTTAGTAGATAGCAAGGACCGACAGCAGATTGTGGGGGGCAATGGTAGACCAACATCGAAATTAAGGCCTCGATACGACGGACCATATGAAGTCATAGAAGCCCTTAACGGAGGACGTAACTTCAAGTTGAAACTAAATGAAGATGACAGGTCACATGACGTATTCCATATCTCAAAACTCAAAAAGTATCGTTGGAGGGAGGAAGAGCATGGCTCAAAGGAGCAAAAGTAAGTTCTCCCACTTAGTATGCACCGCCAAGGCCGCTATAAATTTTTGTCAAAAACAATACCTTGGCCACACATGTGAGCATCCAATTTGGTCCTGGTTTACCTTTCAGATGGCGGAATAATGAATTAACGAGCAACATTCAAGACGTCAACATATCACGAATTCACATCAAGATCTCAATTAACTTAGATACAGCTTATCAATTTCAATCTCCTTTCTGTTATTGTTTTAATGACTTTATTTTAATTTTTTTTCTTTATAGAAAACAAGAGTTTTTTTTTCTTCTTTTGCGTTGGGACGAGTTATGTCAATTCAGGGGCGCGTTATGCCATTTTTTTTTCAGTTTTTTATGTTTTTTTTATGAAGCTTAGGATCAGTTTTTTTTTAGAAGGGGAGGGATGTAAGGGTTACATAGCGACGGAGTACAAGCATCATGGGTGTAGACAGGTACATTATATATTAGTCACGTTGCCCTAGCTCCAGAAGACCCTTCTTCACCGAATACTCTTTGGATGGAGCTAGGTGAGCATCTCATTTCACTTTATCAATTATCTCATTTCATTCTATCAGTTATTCCTTTCATTCTTGTTAGAGTTCTATGTTCTGATTGTGGGCTTCTTCACCGAATACTCTTTGGATGGAGCTAGTTTGTGCTTTGGGAAATCTATAGTTGGGTTCTAGAATAAGTCTCCGAGCTTTAGCTCTCGTGCCATCCTCTCAGTGAAGACTCCCTCTCGAGAGTCTTACAAATCCTTTAGCAGACAAAACCTTTAACACTTGTTTCAATTTCGAAGTTTCTTATTTTAATTTCCAAGTTCTAAACCCGAGACTACAGTCTCTGTTTCAAGATTTCACAACCAAAGGCATCAACGATTTACGAGCTCCTTGACATTAGCAAGGAACTAGGAAAGCTAGTCGATACTTTCATTGATATCCAGTACTTGAATTTGAAACAACCGGAGGATTTGTTACAGAACATTATCAACATCATTCGAAGACTTGAAGCGGAAGCTGATAAACTCAGGAATCAAGAGTAAGTCAGACAAAAGTTTGACAGTGACTGAACGAAACACAACACTAACAACTGCGCAAACAGTGACCAGATCGAGCCAGCCCAGTCAAGCTCAAGTCGAACAGAACCAGGCAGTAGACAGAACCCAATCAGCCTCATCAGCCCAGAACCAGAGCAGCGTGTCACACCCAGCCGGTCAGAATACGACTACGATTACGGCGTCGACTACGAGTGGAGATCCACCTGGTAAATATATAAATTCATTGCTGTGTTATAACCCCTCGCTATCGTACTACGTATTGAGAAGATATGCCTCCTCGAAAATCTTCTAGAGTCAGTAGCCTCGAACGGCCAAACTACTCAGACTCCATCCGGAGATCCAGCTCAATCGGCAGCAAGCGACGATGTTCCGATGCTACCAAACCAACCAACCGGATTATCAGCTCAAGAGATCCAAGCGGCTCAGGACTTGGAGCAACAGGATCACATAGTGAAACTGTACGAGTACCATTTCAGCAAATGGAGAGATGCGCAAGCATCGAACCCCAACAACACTCGAAACATAATGATCTATCTCAAGTTATGGAAGTCGACTCACGAGACTCTGATGATTCTGATCGGCGAAGAAGCAACGAAAGCGCTTTGTCACCCTTGGGATCCGTACGTAGAAGAACAGAGCCTCTTAGCGAGGACCTCGGGAGGATTCATTGGCAAGGAACAATACCTCAAACCACAGACGAACCAGTACCAGCATCCGACCCAAGCGGAGTCGTCAACGGGTCCAGCGAGAAATCAAACCCACAAGCCATCGAACACCCCGTACAACCGACCAGCTCAAGCCGAGGACGAAGCCCACAACATGCAACAGATGTTGTCATTCAGTTGAGCTTACTACAGAGCGGTCAAAGGGATGAGAGGTCCCCACAAAGGGAAAGGGAAGCAAAACCCTCAACAATAGATAGGGTCTTTTATTCTACTCCCAGCCCGTTTTTGACATCTCATAGACTTAGAAACGATTTAGCTCCTCAGAACGATAATGATACCGTTGTCAAATCCATTTCCTTGTCTATTGAACCTATGCCTGTTACCACTATGCCTATCCAACCTATGCCTGTCACGAGAGAAGTTGTTGATATCCCCAATACTACAGTAAAAGATGTTCTTGTATCTAACCACACTGCAGTCAATGATAACATTTCTAAACGTACTACAACCTTGCCTGCTCAAAATCAATTGAGCCAAATAAGCGAGACAATTAAAACTTTAGCCCAAAACAAGAGAAAAGTGCCAATCAGTTTGAGAGACAACAAGAACTTTGATAAAAATAAGTTTATAGCAGAGCTGAATAAGCCGAAGAAGAATACGACAAGTATAGAAGATATACTTAAAGAAACTGAATTCAAGAAGACCACCCATGCTCCTCAGGGAACGCCAAGAGATACCTTTAGAGATAAAAGTTTCGCCTCAACGGATGCTGAGAAAAGTCTCAATACTAGATTTCAAGGTTTGAGATTGCAGACAGAAAGCCTATCACCTAAATCGATGATATCTCTGAACAAGGGGAGAATGGATTTGGAAACAAAGTTAAATAAACTACAAAGCAACATCAAAGAAAAAATTGATGAAGCTGTTACAAAGCTCAACAATAAATGGGATCTAGGGTTGAATATCCTAAATGACGAAATAAGAGTACATTTCGAGGAAATGAGTTACCACATGGACCAGGCAAATAAAATAAGTACATGCTCAGAAATGAACAAGATACTGAGTGAGCACCTCGAAAACATGGATGATATCATGTCTAATGCCGTAATGGTGAACAAAGAAATAGTCGAAGCAAATAGTCGACATTTAGCAGGACTAATTAAGTTAATAGACAACAAGATAATAGAACAAAGTCTGAACTGCTCTTTAATACACCGTAACGTGGTAAGATTAGTGTCGACAGTAGACAAGTTGAACACGAGAGTAGAAACCCAGCTTGAAGAACACAATATCCTAAATGATATAGTGCCAGAATCAGAAGTAGCAACTGGAAATAACCCATTTGCGCACAAATTCCAAGGGATACCTAAGGTGCCACATCCACCGGAAAAACGATATACAACACAACACGAGGATGCAGAACATGAAGACCAACCTTGCATGAACAAAACAACCGAGAAATCTCAGAAGGACATAGAAATACTCAAATTATTAAGAAAAGACTACCCACAATCTAGGGACTGGCCAAGATTTGGCGGTGAAGGCGAATACAACCACCTGGAATGGATTGAATGGATAGATGGGGTGAAAGAGGAGTTCAGCATGCCCGATGAGTTGATCACATGCAAACTTGCAATTATCACAACAGGAACAGCGCGTGCCTGGTACCAGAGCAAAAAGAAAACCCTTCTTAAAGCAAGCTGGGAGGAGTGGAAGAAAGCCATTAAAAAGGATTTCGGAACACCACTATGGAGACGTCGAATGGCATCAGCCTTCGAGCGCGATAAATTCAGAAACGAGTATAGATCTAGGTCCAATTCTTGGCTGCTGACACAGCGTAAGAGAATGGAAGCAGCTTGGTCGTTCCTAGAAACATCCGAACATATAGACAAAATATTGAGTCTGTGCGGCGGGGAATTGGAACATGCAGTTCAATCGAGAATTAACGATAAGACAAGTTTTGAAGAATTCATGAATATTTTTGAAGAGATAGTAACAACGACCTCCATTGGAAAATTGGCAGAGAAACCTAATAACCTGAGAGTTACCTTTAGTAACAATAAAGAGTCGAGAAACCCTTTTTCAAGAGATGCAACTAAAGACCCAAGAAGCTCTCCATCGAGAGATTTTAAGACAAGAGACTATAGCCAAAACAAGTTTGCCGGAAGTGATCGGAATAATACTTCCAAACTTCCCTTTAGGAATCGAGAAGATCGACAAGGATACAGTAGGAAGCCCATCAATGCAGTAAACTGTGACAAAGAACAATACGAATTCAAGGACGGACCTCCTTCAGAGGACGAAAAGTCGGTACAAGAATCAGTACGGGATGATACAACAGACGAAGGAGAAGATTTCTGCGTAAGTAATATAGATATGTCTCGAAGGGAACCTGAGGACGATGATACAAACGAAGATCCAGAAGAAATCGGAAATGTTACACACGTAACACATGGAATATCTCTTGAAGCATTAACAGATAACATACAAGCTGCATAAACCATGACAGATTCAGCAACATATTTTAGATTTATACCTTGAGAAAGGATAACGATGCCAGAAATAGATACATACCTGACAGTATCGGTCGGAGGATTCGAAAAAGCTATGCTTATAGATACGACGAGGATTAAATCGTTCGTAACATCTGGAATGCTCAAAGAATGCTGGCCGACCTGGAGGACAGATATGATTTCCAATACGAGGGAACAAAATTCGACCGAAGCAACGGAATTAGAAATGATTGGATCAATTAACTTACCTGTCAAATTAGAACATCAGACGAGACCATGTTTTATATACATAAGGTTCTCTGTCCTCGATGATGACCAGTCCGAGTTCCTAACACTTGGATGCGAAACTTTAAAGGAACTAAAGATGACCATTTACATGGGACCACAACCCTCATGTGGAATCTGGGAGGTGAACGAATCATTTTCTTTTTGACTATTATCTTTAAAAGAATATATAGAAAATAGAAATAAAAGAAGTTATAACCATGATATTGCGACAATTACCACTGAACCTGGTGAAGGATTGGATATCGCAGAATTACAATCGCAAGCAGCTACCCCACAACAATGGGACGGAGAAACAAAGTCAAAACAGATATTGGATGCCAGATTAATGATGAGCAAACCCGAGAGAGGTAGAGCTCACACTATAGGCCATCACTGCATAACAACGGTACTATTAGACGATAAGACAGAAGCGAATGTTTTACTAGACAGCGGAGCAGCGTGTTCGATAGTAGGAACGCACTACCTCAAAAACATCTTTCCCCAATGGAAAGAGAAGATGTTACCACCTAGCACTATGACATTTAGAGGTTGTGATGGGAAATTGAAAGCCCTCGGAGTGATAGAAATACCTATTATCTTTCCACATCACCAAGGATCAGTTAGGATAAAGCCAGAATTCGTAGTTATGGAAAATGCCACGTCGAATTACTTCATTTTAGGTGGAGAATATCTGAGACTGTATGGCGTAGATATTGTTCACAGTAAAGAGAAATTCTTTACTATAGGAAACGAAAATAAAAAGAAGAAATTTCTTCTCAGCCTTTTGAAAGAAGGGAAAATATCAGCAATCCAACATACGGATGAGAACTTCGAAAAAGCTATAGGAGAATGTAACATATCTCCCAGGCTGAAATCATCAGAATTACACTCTTTGAATTCAGTCATGAAGAAATATTGCAAAGCCTTTGCTTACGGAGAAAACCCTATAGGGACCATTATAGGACATGAACTAAAGTTGAGATTGACCGTTCAGAAACCTTATCCACCCATACTTAAGAAGCAAGCATACCCGGCAAGTCCGCGGAGTAGAGATGAGATCGAGAAACATCTCGACAAATTGATCCGATACGGGATTATACGTAAAGTAGGAGCAGATGAGGATGTAGATATCACAAAACCAGTGATAATCGCATGGCACAACGGGAAATCCCGTATGTGTGGGGACTTCAGAGCCTTGAATACGTACACAGTACCAGACAGATACCCGATGCCTAGGATATCGCATTGCCTCACTAATCTAGGAGCAGCGCTGTACATTTCAACAATGGACGTCATGAAGGGCTTTCATCAGAATACCTTAGATGAAGAGACTAGGAAGATGCTACGCATAATTTCACATAAAGGAATACATGAATATCTTCGAATGCCATTTGGTGTGAAAGGCGCTCCAGCGCATTTTCAAAGAATGATGGATAACGAGTTTGCAGCAGAACTAAGCGAAGGATGGCTCATCATTTATATAGACGACATCATAGTTTTCTCAAAAACTTGGGAAGAGCATATACGTCGACTGATACAAGTATTCGAGAAAGTTATCAAAATGGGGATGACTATATCACTACAGAAATCAAATTTTGCGTTCCAAGAATTGAAAGCTCTAGGACACATTGTGTCAGGATTATGGATAGCAATAGACCAGAATAAGGTAGCTGCGATACTACAGAAGCAAATACCACAATCGGTTAAAGAGGTGCAGTCCTTTTTAGGATTTGCAAATTACTATAGGACACACTTAGAAGGATTCGCCAAGGTTAGTGGTCCGCTGTACAAGCTACTCCAGAAAGGAGTCTCGTTTGAAATGACCCAGGATAGAGTGGAATCATGGAACATAGTGAAAAAACGACTAACAGAAGCTCCGTTTTTATTGCATGCTGATTTCAAGCTGCCATTTAAACTATACGTAGACGCGAGTTTTGATGGTCTAGGGGCGACATTGCAACAAATCCAAATTATGGATGGGAAACCTTTCGAAGGTCTGATAGGATGTATCTCACGCAAACTTAAACAATATGAATTAAATTATGGCGCGACACAATTGGAGAATCTCTGTTTAGTATGGGCACTAGACAAATTTCACTATTATTTAGATGGAGCCTTTTTTGAAGTCATCACGGACTGCACGGCGCTAAAAGCACTTCTTAACATGAAGACACCAAACCGGCACATGCTACGATGGCAAATTGTGATACAAGAATACCGATCATGCATGACAATCACACATAGAGAAGGAAGGAAACACGACAACGCAGACTCACTAAGCAGAATGGCATTAGATAATAACATCGAAAACCCAGCATGGGAACCGGAAGACGAGACAAGGGACTTACCTATCATGGGAATCAGCATTACAGACTTATCAGAAGAATTTTTCAAACAAATTAAAGAAGATTACGCGGCAGAGCCAAATACAACACGACTAGTGGAAATTTTACAAACAGATCATAAAGTACCAGGACTGACTTCATCACTGGAAGGAATCTGGAAGAAAGCATTCAAAGAAGGGAGATTTACCTTGCTGAGTGGTATACTCTATCATAGAGAAAAACATTCGTGCGTAATGGTAATAACATCTGACACCACTATAGCGCAAGTATTAAAAATCTGTCACGATGACGTTATGTCAGGACACCTGTCCATGGATAGGACAATAGATAGGATTCGACAAACGACCTGGTGGCCAAATTGGAGAAAAACAAGCGAAGAATATGTTTTGACGTGTGACAAGTGTCAGAAGACCAACCGCACAACAGGAAAGAGGTTAGGACTCCTTCAGCAGATAGAAGAACCTAAGATACCATGGGAAATAATTAACATGGACTTTGTTACAGGCCTACCAGCGGCCGGTTATGATAATGTGGATAGCATATTAGTGATAGTAGATAGATTTTCGAAAAGATGTTGATTCTTACCGTGCCACAAAAACGCCACAGCCATGGATATAGCATTGCTCTTCTGGGAAAGGGTAATATCGGACACAGGTTTACCAAGAGTGATAATCAGCAATAGAGACCCTAAATTTACATCCGAATTCTGGAAAGGACTATATTCAATGACAGGAACAAAGTTATCTATGTCGACAGCATATCACCCACAAACGGACGGGCTAGCAGAACGAATGATCAGTAGTCTGGAAGACCTGATTAGAAGATACTGCGGCTACGGACTATCTTTTAAAGACGGAGAAGGATATACTCACGACTGGAAGACTCTTCTACCAGCACTAGAGATAGCATATAATACTTCTACACATAGCACTACCGGTAAAACACCATTTGAGGTAGAGAGGGGTTTTAATATAAGAACTCCTAGAGATGTCTTGAGACCAAAAGGATCAACTTTTCATCCGACAGCAGTAGACTTTCAAAACATGTTAGCAAAAGCAAGAAATCACGCTGAAGAATGCATTCGAGAATCAACACAGTATAACAAAGAACGTTGGGATAAGACGCATAAAGAGCCAGATTTCAAAGTCGGAGAAATGGTCCTCATATTGACGATAAATTTCAATAATCTACAAGGACCTAATAAGCTAAAAGAAGCCTTCATAGGACCCTTTGTCATCAAAGAATTACATGGCAAAAATGCGGTTGAAGTTATACTTACAGGGAAAATAGAAAGAAAACACCCAGTTTTTCCAGTATCACTTCTGAAGAGATATGAGAAATCAGACAAGAAAAGATTCCCACACAGAAAAGCACCAGACATATCAGAGGTGCCTATAGCAGACGAAGTCCAAGGGGACATACAGAAAATCACTCAAGAAAAGTTAGTCAGGCTTAACGGGAAAGACACAAGACTATATTTAGTAAGATTTAAGAATAGCACAGCAGATAAGGATAAATGGCTAGAAGCCGGCGATATACCACACTCCGCTCTATTACTTAGGAAATATAGAGCATCAAAACGACGATAATCAGAAGGTCAGAGTTGGAACTCCACCTTGTGGTTGGGGAATGTCAGTCCTCGAGTGTTTCCAAACAAAGGAAAACACCAGAAGAACTACACAACATATATGTATATATTTCATTTGTCATTTTTTGTTTTTGTTTTTATAATAACCTTTTAGAAAAAATGAGAACAAATTCCTTTGATTACAACTTATGGATCTAGTCTCAAAGATTCAACAAAAAAACATAAAAAACATAAAAAAGAAAATACAAGACACATTTCAAAAATGACCTAGTATCAGAAGTCTACAAATAACAAACACGAATAATGAATAGAAAACCTAAATAAGAATAATGGTCACAAGAACAGCTGATATATTTCACCAAAGAAAACAATAAGAAACAAGACTAGGAAGGAATTAGGAAAGGAACTAGTAGATAGAAAGAAATACCAAGAGACGAACTGAAATTCCTCGAGAACTGAGGCAATATCGCCAGACGTAAAGAGAACATGAAAGAACTAGACATCGAGCCACTTCCAAGAGAAAACTGTCATGATCAAGGATCAGAGGTGACATGAGAAGAGAGGTTTGAGGAATCAGTGATAAGACGAGTTCAGACTGACATAAAAAACTATGAAAACTTCGAAGGACCCAGTCTCCTAATACGTCAAGACTTACGTAAAACGAGAAGACTACGGTTGGAAGTAAGAACTCCGACCTGATTATTACCAAGGCTGCCATAAGCTATAACAAAAACTATAAGAAGACCCTATACGAGCAACAAAGAAGAGGGGCATCGAATCTTACCCCATCAATATTGTAGAAACAAGTTAGTTTTCTCCTTTTTCAAAGCCCGGCACATAAACCATTAGAATCTACCTTTATAAGATTAGAATTTTAACCCTTTATCTGTCCCGCTTCTTAAAAGTAGTTTTTGCTAAAAGCTTCTGAAATCTTGAACCCGTAAAATAAACGTAACTCATCTTTTCTCCATGACTAGTGAATAGTCTGAACTCATTCTGATTCTTACTTTACTCTAATTCTCCGTAGTTAACCACTAGCTACCCAGTTTGAAAGGTTATAAACTTATTATAAGCTCCATTCGATCCTTATCCAGTTATTCGAAACCAATACTACTTTCTTAATTGATCAAGAGTAAGTCTGTTCTTATTTGGTCAATACCTACAGTTCTCGCAACGTAAAGTTGGACGAGATCCCTGTTTATCTCTGGATAACAGGCAACTCTAAGCTTTGAGCTTCAGAGAAATACCCGGGTCTAAGGATTGACCATCCTCTACTGTCTCCTCAGTAGGCCCGTGGTTCTTTTAAAATCAGTATTTTATAATTTACAATATTAATCAGTATACTGATATTACTATCATTACTCGTGTTAGGAAGAAACCACGATCTCGTATTCCACGTAACCAGAGGAATATTCAGTCAGGAACTTATAGCGTAAGTACTAGGCCTTACCTGTGACCTCTTTAGGTAGCCACCCTGACACCACACCTGAATAATGAGCAAGGACATGAGCTGTTGAGTTCTGTGAGATTAGGCAAAATCTGCAACATACATCAGACCATGTACACCTGTGCTAACCCTAACCTAAGAAAAATGTGAAATTGCTTATGTTGAAGGGCAAGCAGTTGTTTTAGAGACTGAAGTCTCAATATTTTTCAATGTCTAACACAGATTTCAGCTCTGAGAGCATGAACAAATGATTGAGAACAGCACTCCATGGTGTTTTAGATTGAGTGATGTGAGTGAATCAAATGCTGAAGGATGCTTCAGGTTGTTGATAACTGTGATGGATGGATTCTCAAATGTACTGATTGATTCCAAGTTTCAATCATATAGTCATTTCACATTGTCTCTACCAAAGACTCAACCAGTGATCAAAAGGTCAACAACAAAGATTGTGAGCTTTTGATGACCTTTTTGGTCAACTGTTTGGTAATTGAATTTGTATGACCAAATTTCATATATTCAATCTGCCTGTTGAAATTAGGGCTGTGACTGGGACCCAACTTTGCCCAGCCATATATACCCAACAATATATTTGAAGTTAAAAGTACATGCTCTGTCACAATTAAACCTAGTCACAAACACCCTGGGGGAACACCGGCAGCCCTGACTGCTTCTTTTTTGGTTTTTTTCTTTTAACATATGATCAGTATACATAGATCTTTTTGATGTCCAAGTAGGCTCATATAGCTTGTAAATAAATCCTGAGACCCATATAATGACAACATACATCAAAATCATGGCATTTTTGGCAAATTTTTGTACCTATTAAGCATCAAAGCTGTACCCTGCCTGGCCCTGGGTGGTTTTTGGATTCCCTTGGGTTTACCCAAGGCCGGATTTGGCCCTGTGGCTGGCCCTAACATTTCAGCGTTGGGTGACAGCCCTACTTCAAACAGTGGCAGATTGAAGGTTTGTTTTTGTGTAACAATATATCACAAAAGCTACCAAACAGGCCCCTTAGCTTTGACATTCTGAGTAGCTCAAAAGAGACAAATTTGTGAATCTGGAGCTCTTTTCAGAAAATTTGATCATCATGCCCACCATCCACCCATGCAATCTTCAGACTATGTTTGAAAATGTTCATGTACCCTTCTCAGCACTCCATTAAATTAACATAAGCTTTGAATGTTTGTAACAATCTATTGAAATCTTCTTGAAAAATTGTCTCATGATATGTACATAATCCTTGAACTTCAGCCTATCCATGGCTCATGTTATACATATCCAGCCTATTCAATTGAATACTTCTAGTTATTTCTATGATTTTGAGATTCAATCTATCATGTGTTGAATTTGTTGTTGATGCCAGCCTTATAGAACCCAAACACCTTCTCAGTCTGCAACACAAGCAATGAGAATCAAGATAAATGTCTTATTTTCAAATGTTACCTTCCCCCTTTCAGAATGTACATCAATTTGGAAGCTTCACCAGAAAGGGACCTCCACTGGGGCTTGCACTGACCAAAGCCAAAAGTTATTGAGAACCAAAGATAGATTTCAAAGCTAGGCCTAGCTCAACAAGTCATCAGATCCCATCCCCAGATATAGCAGAACAAATGACAGCATCAACAAGGATAATAAAGAGAAGTGAAATGAAACAACTATAATAGCACTCACATCAAAAGAATAGTACCCAAGACATGTGTGATATGTAAGGTGTCACCTTACACAATTTTAATCTCTATACCACATTCTAATGTTTTCTACATAAATACACTGGCTTCAAATATCATGTCATTTCATCCCAGAATATACATAAGAAGGATGAACTTAGGCTTTGTCTCCCATTTCCAAGTATCTCAGATCTTATGTAACATGTCTCACAGAAACACTATCCAATAGGAAAATTCTCCAGAGCCCTCCTGAGTGTGGTGGTGGGTGTAACAAGGTAAAGGCTGAGAACTACAATTTCAACCAACATATTCTTGGTGGAAACATGGATCCAAACAAGCAATGTGAGGCATTCAAAGAATGGAAAAAGCTGATTTATGAATGGCATGCTTCTGTGTACAAGAAGCACCATTTTCAACCCAATTGTTGAGCTACCAGGAGTACCATCTTCAGTGTCAGTGTGAAACATTATTGAGTGAAAGCTGTGTAATGAGCTACAAAAAGCTGCACAAGACATATATATATTCTTGGCATGGGGATTTGTTTATTCTTCAAGAAAGTAAAGCCCCTCACATGCATCCCAGGGACTGAAAGCAGAGTGCTATCACAAGCCCTTCTTGAATTTTGCAAACAAGGGTCTCAAAACTTCAACATCTCAACTAGCTGTGAGATTATCTGTTGCAGGAGCTTTGTACTAGGACAGATTTATTTGTCTCTTGAAGCAAGATACAACCATGTCTTCCTTCTAAGCAACATGCCAATATCTTAGTATAGGCAACAGCTTAAAAGGTTCATTAGAAAGGAGTGATGCAGGAGATAAAAACTAACTCAAGCGGCGGGAGTTTGTGCTCGGTACCGGGCTACAGTCCGGCTCCGGCTTGCTCCTACCGGGTGACGAAGTCGAAACCTTGTGGAAATCGGGGAATGTCTTCAGTTACGCTTTGCATCCTTCAACTTCAACACTTCCGTCCAGCAGCAGCTCGTCATTAGACACCACCTTCTCCGTTTTACGCTCAGCTACTTCGAAAATGACTTCCTCCAATTCGAACGAGATTCAGGATATTGAGGCCATCTTGAAAGGCGAAGAATCCCTGATGACCAGAGAACAAGAGGTGAGGACTAAGCTCATGTCAAATGACCAGTGCTCCGACTAATGACATCGTTGGTAGGTCGAAAGAGTCATTGCCGCATTCAAACTAAATCCCTACGACGTTTTGGATCTTGACATGACCAATCCGACAACAGTAACAGATGCAGACATCCGTATGTTTCATCGCCTTGATCAGATTCTATCGACTTATGAAGTTTTGCTCTTAGCTAACATGAATTGATGGATGACATAGGAAAATCTTACCGCAAGCGCTCTTTACTCATTCATCCTGATAAGTTATCTCATCCGCGTGGTCCCGAAGCCTTTGACCTGCTGAAAAAAGCTGAAAGCTTCTTGTTAGACCCAGAAAAACGAAAGTTAGTGACCCCTTCAAATCCCACTTCATATGTCAATCATACATTTTCTTTCCTCACGCAATACCCTTGAATCATCAGAGGTTTAGATGAGACAATACGGGACGCTAGGATGCTTACCCTACGAGCCTTGAGCCTACCAGAAACAACGCCTAATGACCACGAGCGCCTGAAGAAATTGGACCCTCCATTCTTTTTTCGAGTTGCATTGAAGACCAAAGAGATCATCATTGAAGAAGAGTTGCGAGTTCGAAGGTGAGCCAACGGACTTTGGCCGAAAAATCTGTTAGACTCACTATGATTCATACGCAACTTTCTGACATGATGACCTCTTTTTGGCTACTTTGGTCAGAGCTCGGAAAATGACCATGATTGCCGAAGGTACTGAAGCCAAAAGGCAAGAAGACGCTATCACCAAACGTAAACGGGAGCTAGAAGACAAGAAGCGATGGGAGGGTAAGTTCAGAGTCTTGCTTTTCCCTTACCTCTTCTTCTTTCCCACCATTTTATACCTGAGTGCTTCAGAAGCTGGACGATCCAGTCTTCGAAGCGCACTAAGGCTTTGAAATTGATTCTCGACCTTTATTTTCTACTGTCTGCTCCACTTGGTCTCCTTCGTAACCTTACCCTATCCCGAGTCTTGCACTTTACACAGCATCGCACTCCACCAGCTATTTCGCCAACCAATAGCATTTTAACATGATCGTCGCATGTGATTATATGATTTCATTGATGACTAAAGTTTTGTGCTTTTTCTTTTGGATTTGATTAGAAACCCGAGAGGCGCGTGTAACGGACTGGCGAAGTTTTCAGAAAGGTGAAAGTTCAGGAAAAAAGAAAAAGAAAACTAAATTGGAAGTTTTAGGATAAGAGATAAATCTGGTGATGTCTCAATCTCTCCGTCCTCTATCTCTTTGCACACAAGTCATGGAGGTACGGTAGGCTTCAAATTTAATTCATTTGTTATGACAGGTTTTTAGATTTGATTCTTGATCGACTGATGAAAGACTTTGATGTCGAATATTTGATGTCTTGAAGATTTTGATTCTGCCCATGTATTTGTATATTATGATTTGTTGTCTCTCCTTAATATTCATACTAATCCTCTCCTTTATGAAACTTGCCTTGATTCTTTATTGTCTCATTCACTTCTAGTAATTAGAAATGATGACCTACTCTGATTGAAGGTCATTGGGCACTGTAAGAAAACGTGATGGGCACCTTTGTCACCTAACTGGCTATGTTCATTGTTCCGGTCTCCGCGCAACCCAAGTTTCCATAAGGAATGAAAAGAAATGAGGGTGTCCGATGTCAAACCTCCGCACGAGGGACTCAATTTAATATATCGTAACAACAGAGATATTGCAGAAGGGTGCTCTGGAGGTGGGACGCCTAACGGCCAGTCCCTTTTGTCCGCTTGACTCGTCCATGTTTATTTAAGCCCATTTCTTCTGGATGGAACACAATTAATATTGACGCCGCGGCTCCTATCTCGAAACCCCACCCTGACTAAATCATCCTTGGGAGCCCACTTGTTTTCCGAGAGTATCAAGTGCAATGCCGTCATTGCCAATGTAAGTGAAGCTCGAGGTTACTACACAGAATATCAATCACTTTGACCATAGATGTCTTCTTACAACCTTTCCGCCGAGTATACGGGGCGAGGACATAGTTAAGATCATATTTTGGCTGCTAAAGGTGTTCCCTCCCTTCTAGCCTCTACACCAGCCCACCGGTTTGTGATGATAGGAGTGTCAGCCAGGTTGATGTATGACATCCAGTTTTGTAGTTCAAGACCCTGGCAATCGAGACATTTTGTGAGTGATCAGAGAACATCCCAATGCAAGCAAGTTTGATTGTTCTTCATTGTGACTACGACCCAAGTTGCCTCAAAGAAGGGTTGAAGTTGAACTTCCGGGGTCCATGTGATGTAACCAGTCAGTTGAATATATGCTTATACACTGACTGAATGCGATAGTGTGATGATGCCTATAGAGAGTGTGACTCAATCATCACTCACGAGTCACTCTCGATCTAGATAGTAAATTGTTTAACCTCACTGATACAAAAGAACTTCTCTCTGATCTGAGTTCTCAGCGTGATTATATATCGGATTCATCGTATTGAGTCTCAAGATCACTATCCTGAGTCTGCCCAAAATCTTTCTAATCTTGAATTCCGTAAATCCATCGATTGAAAGTCCTTTATTCAGCTACTTCGTTGTTACTTTACCCAGTCATCATGCGCGCGAAGGCGATCGAGATTCGTTGGCACAATACCAAGTCAATATATTCAACTGATTTCCAACGAACACCCCCATCGAATTTGGATGAATTGTTTCCCAAAAAGTCTCATCCATATGCTAAATCGGAGCATGACAAGTTGGTCGAGCAATACGAGAAAGAAAATGGGTTCGGTAAAGTGTGGCGCCTGGCTACCGCTGGAGGTGATAATATGGTCATGGTCAATAGATACCTCATATCTCGCCTGGACTTCCCGTTAAAAATATTGTTGATATTGTCCTTCATCATTTTCATGTATCACAAAGATGTGGCTCGTGTATCCTAAACCTACAATGGCTCAAATGGCGCACCATCGAGCTGTGCACCAAGTCTCGACGCAATCATCAGGTTCTGCTTCGGCTACGAGCAGCACAGGTCCCGTTGAACATCAGAACGCGCCTGTGGTCGAGTACCTGTCTACGCTGGCAAAACATCAAGGTGTAGTGAATGTGGTACGGTTCTGCCCCAAAGGTTAGCATTTGAAAATTGTCAACGTCCTGATGTTATATTTCTTCAAGCTGAACTCTTTTGTTATTCAAACTTCAGGCGAAATGCTTGCGTCCGGTGGTGATGGCAAGTTTAATTTGCCTCCTGATACTTTTCATACTTGGCCTCAAATCTTGAGCAGAAAGCTACACGCAATGTCGCTGGAATGGTACGCTCACTTACTTTATCGTGACAGACGGTAATGTGTTACTCTGGGTACTTTCGACTGCATCTACGACTACATCGGCCTTTGGACAATCCTCTGCCGACAAGATATACGAAAGAGAAAGTTGGAGGACGAGATTGATGCTACGGTTAGTTATCATGTTCATATCTTTCATTCAGAACTAGACTTGACCATTGACGATACATTCAACGACCCAGGGGACCTTCCCAGTGCGAAATCTATGATGTAGCTTGGTCGCCATGTGGAGACTTCCTGCTTACTGGGGACACGGCCAAGACTGCTCGTATCTGGAATGTGACCGATGGTTAGTCAAAGTTCACACACGTCTCATCGTATATTCATCTGGCCGGCTTTCCTGAAATCATTTTACCACAATCGTAGGCCTATGCATCAAGCAAATAACAGAACATTTGAATTTTGTACAAGGCGTGGCGTGGGATCCTCTAGGCAAATTTATAGCGACGCAAAGCAGTGATCGGTAAGTTTCCCCTTCTTCCAGTGATGCACTACAAAGTATCCCATACTTGCGTTTCTCGTCACAGTTCGATGCATGTCTATACCGTGCAGATCAAAAGGGAAGAAAATGGGGGCGCTTCGGCGGAAGTTCATCATGTAGGCAGGAACTTCAAACTGGATCTCTTCAACACTCAAATCAATTCTTGGGCGAGCTATGCTGGCTCCCAGCATAGCCAGAAAGATGATCCACCAACAGACTCAACAAGTGCAACCCCTCAAACCCCTACCCTGGCCAACCACACCCCTGGAACTACCCCAGCACCCGGATCAGCCGCCTCAAGTCTATCTACAGCTAAGAAGACTCGACCCCAACTGGAATCCGGAAGCATCCCCACTTCATCTCATAGCGTAACCGAGTCTGTTACTACGGCTCATAACAGCAATCAGATTGGATCTACAAACCGGATCGTATCAATCCCTCCCACGCCCAGTACAACAACAAGTACCCAGTTCAACGAAGAATTCATGATGCTACCCCCGTCCGAGATTCCACACCATTCCCACAGTACGCTCCCTCCGCAGCATCTTCGTACGCGATCCCATTCTAGGCAGTCATCTGTAGTCTCTAGTCAAACTATGTCACCTTCGTCGTTACACCCCATGCGGTCACCTTCACCGGTACCACCTTTACCTGCAATTCACATCCACGAAGACCACCGGCCAAGCACTGTCATGTTGTATGGAGACGAAGGGGCTAGCGCGTTTTTTCGTCGGTTGAGCTGGAGTCTGGACGGTTCGATGCTAGTCACACCTGCGGGTAGATGGGACTATCAACCGAACTCGGGAGATAAGCGTAACCGGAAAGGAAAAGAGAAAGAGATTGATCGACGTAATATTCACTCAAGCGGTGGTAGAAAGAAACGCAAGAAAAAAAGTATAGCTTCAACACAGTTGGATATCGACTCATCAGATGAAGAAGACGCTACAGACAAGGCCAACGGAGAACCCAGTCACACTGTTTACATTTACGGCCGTGGTAGTATTGCTTCTAGCGCGAACAACGGTTTCGGTGATTATACTCCCGTTGCTAGATTACCAGGACATAAAACTAGCAGTTTGGCCATTCGATTCTCACCTGTGTTCTATGAGCTTAACCCACTCTCGGCTAAGAAGACGACCGACTCATCGAGAAAAAATCCCGTGAGGATCGAACTCGCGAAAGGAAAAGAGATTCAACATATCGATCTGACCACTTCGGATGTCCCGTCAACTGAGCGCGACGCCAAGCCCAACTCACAAGATCTCTCAGGCGACCAAGCGCAGGCAAGAAGTAATGTCGAACAGCGAGAGACGGTATTTGACTTACCTTACCGAATGGTATATGCGGTTGCTACGCACGATACTGTGTTTGTCTATGATACTCAACAATCGAGCCCTATTTGTATGTTTGGAAACCTGCATTTTTCCAGTTTCACGGATCTCGCATGGTTAGTGGTCACCTTCATTGTTTTCAGCAGCTGCTACTAGGCGCTTACCGGTATATGCGTGACCCCTCTTTGAAATTTATTTCTTGTCTAAGGTCTTCGGATGGCGAAACCTTGATCCTAAGCTCTAGTGATGGCTACTGTTCATTAGTAGCATTTGATCAAAATGAACTGGGTACACCGCTTTCCAAAGAGGCTTGCAGTCGAATTACAGGATATCGTGATCATATCCAAGACGATCGTGATCAAGAGTTAGCAAACAAAATATCTAGCCAAGCGGACAGTACCAAGAACGATCCAACGCCTTCAGTGATCTCCAGAAGAACATCTGTTTCCAATGAAGTACCATCAATGGTCAAAGTCGGTCGACCTGCACCAGAAGATGCCTCTGAAGGGAATCCACCAAAGAAGAAGCGAGTAGCTTTGACATACGAAGGCCCTGTACGATCATAAACAAAATATTAGATGTCCATCGTCATTGCTTTACAGAATAGTCGCACTGGGTTGATTACATCAGCCCGTTATGTTTTCTATGAGATCAATAAAGATGCTCAATTATCTTATTATTTAAAAAAATCTTTTTAGAATTATTGGACTATGTCACAACTCTTGTAAAAGAAAACTACAAGCAAGTCAAGACCTTCAAGGTTCAAGTTATTTGTTGTTTTGGATGAGATGATGCAGAGATTTGGATAGAATTGACAATGAGTCTAACTCAATTTTTTTTGAGCTTTGGGCACGAAGTTTGAACAGACCCAGTGACTGGGCAAAGTGTGTTTTATTTATTTGGGAGGAGACCTTCTAAAGATGTAGGATAACAAAGCCGACACCTCTTGGTTTGCATCACGACAAGAGTTTAAAATATCGTGAACAATTAAGAATCCCTACGACTCTTAAAAAGACAATTTGTGAGAACATACGTGAGATTGATAAAGGGTTTCCATCCATTGTGCTTACACTATGAGCAAGACCGGGTGGAAAATCAAGCTCAAATTGGATTTTTCCTTAGTCTGAATCCTCCAATAGGTACTATTTGAGAGCTGAGCAATCTGATTTTCGCAGCATTTACTGTTCCTCACTGATTTTAAATTGATCTCAATATCCATGTACAAGACCGTACACGTCAACGATTATGATATCCCCCAGTCTTCAGGATTCCACAAAACAATGATACCCTCTCAAAAGCCCTCAATCAGGCTACCTGTACCGGCACTGAAATCTGCGTCAAACATGCAGAAAAAAAGTAGATAATATTTCTTGTATCAAGTCAATTTTTGTTCAATATGTGTTCAACTCTTTTCTTACTAGTTTCTGATCAAATCCAAACATTTATATTCATACAAACAGCCAAAGCAATCTGAAAGGTGAAATGAAAGTCTGATTTCATCATCAGTGTGTAGCAAAAATTCTCACGACCAGTTGAAAGAAGTCAAGGTCAATCTTCGGATTGATTCATTTCTTGAAAAAACTACACGTGATGAGATCGTGTGATGATTTCGGAAGATCATTCACGTCAGTGCTTCATCAATGTTTTGTTTTGATTTCCAAGAATGATATAAAAATGATTCAACAAACCTAGTGATATTAGATTGATCTTTATTCGTGTTTTTCTTTGAAGTGTCAGTTTTCTTTGGAATAAGTTTTTTGGTGGTGTTTGTCTTGACTTCTGTCGCATCCTTTCCATCCTTCACTTGACTGCTTGATGGATTTGATAATTCCTTAGGCATATCACCTGTAACTTGATTTGATTTCTCCTCAGGCTCTTCTACAGTCTTTTTAGCCTTCTTCCGTGGTCCAGCTTGAGATCCTTTATCGGGATCAGACTCCCAATCTGTATAAGTCTCTTCTACGTCTTCGATCTCTTCTTTGGTGACTCTAAACCCCCGTATGTCTTTCACTCGGACTTTTTTCTTCTTTTGTACAATTCGCGTCTTAGTGACTCGTTTACGTACTAGAGGATTTGGTTCATCGACATCTTCCGTCGTTCTCTTATTCGTCGAATCTATGGCACATGAAGGATCGATCAGCGCTGTCCTTTCTCTTTCACTGAACCTCGTGCTATACTATACTTCGAGTGGGGTTAAACCAACAGACGGTGACGCTGCTTACCTGGCTTTGTTGATTCTTCCTTTTCTGCCGTGTTTTCGATCTTCGATTGGGAAGATTTGCTATCTTTCAGGCTGGATGTTGACTTGGTTTGTTTAGTATCTGCCTTGCTCTCGCTTGTTTTGCTAGTATTTGGCTTTGTACCAACGGCTTTTTTGGTCGTAGGTGGTTTTTTCTGTCCCACTGGACTTTCATTGGTTAAATCTGTAGTTTCACCCTTTTTAAGGCTGGAAGAAGTCGACTTCTTCGTCTTGGGAGTATCGTCTTTAGATTTGGGTTTATCGTCTTTAGATTTGGGTTTATCGTCTGAAATAGCTTTTCCTGGCTTCGCTGTGGGAGGGACCTCTTTGTGCGCACGGTCTTTGGTAGAATTGGAGGAAGCCTGGTATAATGAGATCAGACGTTATCGTGAGCAAAATTCTCAACAAGAGATCAAAGGTGCTCCCTCATTCGCGTGGCGGCACCATACTAGACACATAAGACGAATTGTCTCCCTACATTTGATTTGCCATTGGCGAGAGGGGCAGGGTTTCGCTCCAGGACTATATTTTCGCGCTGTGTCCGCAGTAGATTGGGGTCCTGTCGGAAATAATCGAGTTCGGATCAGGTTGAATTCCTTGGCATACGCGGTAGAGGGACAATGATGACTGAGGGCTCACGGGTGGCTGGGTAGCCCTGATGCTGTGTAGCTCCACGCACGAGACTGAAGCTAGTTTTGATTTGATATCTATTAACAAGTGATAATTATACCCGGGGCAAAAAAGAATTGAGGCGATTAGCAAGGTAATAATTGGATTGGCGAACGAAACTGAATAATGCTTACCTTCCAATTCAGTCTCATCAGCCAACTCAATCCTAAGTGAAGCCGTGCAATCCGACACAGGCTCTTGGTCTCTCCCACAAACGAGATAGCTAGCCTTGACTTTGAGTTGTCCAGCATCATCAGACCCATAGAATTTTTCTAAATGTTCCCGTGCAGTTGCAATCCCGCATCCAAGTTTCTTGGACAAAGCTCGGCATGAGATCTGTCTGAGTAGAGAGATCGTCAACACCATTCATAAGTTTTCAAGGAATGATACGAATGCACACGGCTAACGGTTGCCTGATCGAACATGATTTGCTGCTTGATCCATCGTTGGACTTCATCTGCCTTAGGTGACATGTTGGTTCAATTTGGTGTGAATATTTGATGGAGATGCTTTTGTTGGTCTTCTTTCATGGATCGTAGAGTGAGAAAGGAAGAATTCGATCAGAGCTGTCTTGAACTTTCGGGAGCGCGTGTTTCGAGTATGTAACAGTCGGGCGTGTGCGCGAGGCATAGCCAGGTATGGCCCGGAAAGCTGATTCAAGAAAGGACGCGTTTAAATATTCGATCGAGCCACTCACCAAGCGATCAGCAATCCATTCAGTATGTCTATGACACCTTCATCCACTTTAAAACAACGCCGTCCCAAAGAGAACAACACCGAGGATATCTGGCTGGAAGATGAACCAGCTTCAGCTGCTCTTTCACCATTTCGTACCAACCTACGGACACCCAAAAAGTCTCATGCGATTTCAGATTTACACGCTCAAGTCTTGAAAACTCCAACAGGTCGAAGTTCTCGATCTCAAGGTTTGATCAACATCACACCGAAAAAGTCTTTTGCTAGAAAGGACCCACTGGGGAATACCGTGGAAACATTCGAGATTGGCTCGCATGTGATCATCAGTCCATTTGCTGCTACTTCAACATACGGCTGGCTACATCGGAGGAAGAAAATCAAATGGACCCATCATGATGGATTGAATGACAATGAGAAGGTTGGAATCATCACTGAATTATTTGAAGATGAGCTCGGAACAAAAAGAGTCAAAGTCAGATGGTTCGCTAGACCTGGGACGGTATGGAGTAGCGGGGGACCGGTCGACGGAACACCAGATGACTATAAACCAGTAGGTTACTCTTCTTTCAGCCTTTGTCTCGATCATTCGATGTGTGCTGATAATCTGTACTCGTCAGTGGGAATTGTGCTATGTGCATGACTCGAGATGGTGCGCGGCCAAACAGCTCTTGGAGATATACATCAAGTCTGGTGTGCAACTCACCCCGGAAAATATGTCAACCGCCGAATATGCAGAGTGTCGCCTGGCCATCAGACAGGACAGCCATACTCAGGATGCCATCTTGCTATCCGATATTACCGAGCGTGTCGAAGTCGTGCCTTGGAAAGATTGGCCTCAAAATTCGACGCCCGATGAGCAACCTCTGACCCAAGAGGGTCGCCGTATGTTTCGGTGCCGTCGTATCTACGACTCCAGACCTCTAGCGTGGGATCTAGACGGTTTCATCAAGGATGTTGATTTTAAAAGTGTGCTAAGCGAAGGCCTCAACAAAGGTCTATGGGATATCTATGTCGAACGTGAGGATCCCAAGCCAGTAGACGAGGAGGCGGAGGAAAAAAAGAGGATCGAAAGGAGGGCAAAAATCAAAGAAGCCAACATCAGAACAAGGCAATTGTCTATGTCCACTTCAGGTCGCAAGAAACTTCGAGGATCTTCCAGTGATGACGAATTTGCTGGTGACGGTACAGATGTTGATGAGGGATCTGATTGTGTAAGAGTCAACATGGAAACCAGTGTCTAATGGTTTTGTCGATTACTGATATGCATTTTGTAATATATAGGACGTCTCAGAAGACCATGAATCGCCAGTGGAAAGTGACTTTGAATCAGACCGCTCTTCGACCCCGGGCAAAAGTCAACCCAAGCGTAAACGGAAGGGCGCCACGAAATCATTCCCAAAAGCGAAGATGACTGCGGCTCAAAGAATCAAACAGACTCAATTATTGGAACGTAGAAAGGCACGGGTAGCATCTCGGCAGGCCAACAGGAACGCTTCCCTGAGGATGCCGGCTGTAAAGCGCCAATATGACGCTGCAACAAACACCGATCCATGGGCCAGAGCTCGCCAGATCTTACACGTCAGCTCTACTCCGGAATGGCTGCCATGTCGGGAAGAAGAGTTTGCTGAATTAGAAGCTGCTTTGGAGGATTCAATCGATGAAAGCAGTGGGTGCTGTCTATATATATCCGGGGTTCCGGGTACAGGCAAGACCGCAACCGTCCATAGCGTCATCAACTCATTGCAAGGTAAAGTTAAGCGGGGTGAGCTACATCAGTTCAGCTTTTTCGAAATCAACGGCATGAAAGTTACCGAGCCCAATCAAGCCTTCGTCCTCTTCTGGGAATTTCTATCGCGGCAAGAACTCGGTGAAGATGCTCCAAGGAAATTTTCACCTCGCGAAGCTCTGAATAGCTTGGAAAATCATTTCAATTCGCCTTGTCCAACACGTCAGACTTGGTGAGTGGATCTTAAATATGACAATGAGAATGTAAACTAACTCTTCGTTTTCAGCGTACTGCTGGTAGATGAGCTTGATCAATTAGTTACTAAGAAGCAAGAAGTCATCTACAACTTCTTCAATTGGCCGAATCAACCTCATTCGCGCTTGATTGTAATTGCAGTCGCCAATAAAATGGATTTGCCGGAGACCGAGTTAAATGGTAAGATCAGGTCAAGATTAGGCTCCAACCGAATTCAATTCAAGCCCTACAACCATATCCAATTAATGGAAATTCTAAATATGCGATTGGACGACTTGAGTGATACAATATTTGTAAAGGATGCTATTCAATGGATTTCAAAGAAGATTTCATCTTTGACAGGCGATGTCCGTAAAGCGTTAGATTTATGTAGAAGTACATTGGAACGAGTTGAGAAGGAAAACGAGAATAGGAAAGCCGAGGGAAAGCCGACCGAACTGGTACAAGTTAGAGATGTAATTCAAACTTATGGGCAAATGATCTCTTCCGGAGTCTCAAAATGCATCAAACATCTAAGTATACATCAGAGTATTATGCTTCTGTCTATATCAAAGGCCATCAAAGTTGCCGGTATACCGGAAGTAGAAATGGGAGACGTAAGAGCCGTAACAACACTCACTAGATGGAAGATTCTTCACTGATGCTTTGATTTTGATGGGACAGGTGATCACTCGACACATACGATTTGCCAACTCTTTAGGTTTATCACCTCAGCCTACGCACGATGAGCTGATGGAAGTGATTTCAAGTCTACAAAATATGAAACTCATCTTGAATGAATCAAGCGCGTTGGATTATTTTTCACGGATCAAATTAGAGTTGAAGGAATCAGATGTCGGCCTCTTGATCAAGAACGACAAACGGTTCTCAAGTTTAGCGACTTGATCATCAAAGAACACTGCTGCATCTGATCATCTCAATTTACTCGCCTTTCTTGGACTTCAGTCTCTATATGTCCTACCAATGACAGACGTTTTATTCGCTATAACACGTCTTTTCCACTCTTCAAGATGGTATCTCAAATAAATTAGCGTGCCAGAACTAGTCAACTTTATTACCAATTGGCATCAACTCTCAGCACTTGGATTCCGATCAGTACCTGGTCTTTGAAGGCATCATCCGATTTTAAGAAAGCGATGAAACCCAGTATCCTCGAGAGATCGGATCTGGTCAAGTTGAGACATCTTCCAGGACGCAGGCATGTACATCATCATCTGGTCGATCTTACTCAGCCCTAAGACGCTTCAAACATCCACCTACCTGTATCTCGAAATGACAGTGCTCCAAGCGCTTGTCGAACTGACATCGTTCAATCTCTTCATCGTGACCATCTCTCCTCTACGATCGACTTCACATTTTCTTCTTCTGAATTGCAGCACTTGACAGACGTTATATTTTTGTTATCCTTGTGGATATAGTTTCCCTCTTGATGAGCTGCCAACAAACTTAGTCTAGCATGCGATCTCATAGCGCCACTTGACCTTCTCGTCTACATTGATTTGAGAAAGCAATCCCGGGAAGAGGCAATCTAATCAGATATTACTGTTCAGCCCTTACCATGTAGTACTTCCCCTTTTCTCAATATGTACACTGCTTTCTCTTTGTCACACATTGGAAATGGCTTTGAAAGCTAATATGTAAAATGTAATAACAGTAATTTGGCTCTATTTGCTTTGCATCCCTTTCACCAAATCACACCTGATTTATTTATTCACACCAGAGGTACAACCCTTCCATCACATGTTGGACGTTGAGAAAAAACAAAAACAGTTCCATACTACATACAACCATGAGGAAAATGAAACTTCAAAGGTTACCACTAAAAACCAAAAACAGTCTTTGCTTTGAATCAAGTCAAGAACTGAAAAGTAATGAATAGGCTCACGCATCTCACGAATAAGACTTTGTATGCAACTGTCACTAAACTGTCCAGTTTACAAAGTAAATGCCGACGCTTTGATTGTGATGCTGCAACAGGACCCTCAATTGTCACGCGTATCAGTCAAATTTGTCATTAGCACCCCTGCAATCAAATGACAAGAATGTCGGGCAGTAGTGTGAGCCAATCCAACAAGGCTGAAAAAGAAGGCACATCCGCCAGATAGATGTTCAATGTTGCATTATGGCAGTCATAGACGCTTGATTTGAAATAGTTGAATTCAACTTTACAATTCCACTCAGAGGTACAGGTCAGTGTTATGTGAAGAACATACAACCATTGGTTTGCAAGCAAACTGGAACGAGGATGGGCAGCCGACAAGTTGACTGAGATAAAGAAAAGACGATGATGGAACAATGAGAAGAGAGATAGATGAGATCAGGAAGGAAGCTTATAAGACACGAAACCAAAGCAGGGGTCAAAGAAGTCATTGACCTAGCGATCGTAAGACTGATCACCAATTATGAGCGTTCCATTGTGGATCCTGTAAAAATGCACAGAGTACCTTGGAGCCAGTCTATGTGTATGGTGATTTCAGAAAGATGGGATTAAGTCAGTCTTAATATCATATGATGACAATGATCCGAGGTAAGGAAAAATCTGACTTGAAGTAAAGGGTGCCCAGCGACAATCTGAAGGAAACGTTCTAAGCCTTCTCGACGAGTTTCGATTACCTCATCGCTGAACCTGGTTTAAGAATGGATCAACATCAGTCTTCATAATCAAGGATCTGAGCGGGAATATATAATCAACACTACATACCGATTAGTGAAGACTTTTCCAGGTAAACTAGGAATGTTGACACGAGTGCTCTCTCGCTCAAGTATGTCTCTAAAAGCCTCGAAATCGGAGTATCGACGACGGACAGATGAGGATTTCACTTTGAAAGCCGGTATATTGGTGCGACAAGTGATTTCGTAGTCCGTGTAAGGTTTCCTGACGTTATCTATATTCTCCAATCAACAGATAAGTAAAGAAAATGGCGATGTACAGCAATCAGACATTGGGTCCTAGGGTAGTTGAAGAATGCGATTCTGTCTTGTCACAGATGACGATCGCATCGTGCTGGGAGGTGTGGTATCCGAAAGTCAGACCGCGCACCGTGGGTGACAGGATGGCGAACCTCTATCTCCAAGTAATTTTCTGGAACCGCATACATCTCGTCGAGGGTTTGAACGGTTCTTGGCCCATTACCGCCGTGAGCGGATTGTCGATTCGATTGATGGCCATTTTGAGGGAGTGATGAAGTTTGAGAGGCCGGATTGGTGAGAAAGGAATAGTTGTAAGATGAACTTGAAGGTGCGAACATTGAGTTGGCTATCGATGAAGGAAGATACGATTCATGGTTGAAGTCCGCTGCACGAGCAAATGGCGAATGACCCGAAGAAGGCGCCACAATTGAATGCTGACGTAGTGAAGCAGCTGTCAAAGGTTGCTGATGCTGCCCATGTTCAGCTGGGTGGACAGGAGGAGCAGTCTGACTTTCAGAACTCATGATAAGCTGATCTAAAGGTCAAAGTTGAGAGATCTCGGAGCTTGAGGGTTGGTGATAAGCTGATCAGAGTGAGAGGTGATGTCGTCGGATGGCGAAGTGTGTTGGATGATCAGCAAGCAACTGATATGGGCTGGGTCCGGAAACCGCAATCTTGAGCTTCGGCCTCGGGGCATCACAGCCCAGCAACATGCATGCGCAGGTGCGCTGGGAGTGCATTCGGTGCATCAATGGCTGCACCGGGATCCTTGGGAGCGTGCGCTCCCAAACTGACAAACGCGCCCCGCTACTGTCGACAAGAATCACAAGTGTCATGCGGTGGGCGCGGCGCGTTTGGCGCGCCCAGGTGTCGCCTGGAGCGGGCGCGCCCGGGAGCGCCCGCAAAGCTCATTTTGGGGGTGGGCGCGCCCAGGGTACTATCTTGTCATCGGAAGGTGTTGGAACCTGTAAAAAAGCCCATCACACATATTCCCACCTTCCATATTCTAAAAAAAACCTCAAAGGCCGCTCATCTTCCACATCAAAGTTCAGGATCAACAAACTTCATTTCAACATGCCGATTGAAGTTCCTGTATCAGCATCATGGATCAAACCACCTAGCAAAAGCTGTACCATATGGACTGGTTTCCAAGCTTTAGACAAACGTAATAACGGACGACGACTTGCTAAGTGCATGAGCTGCAACTCAGTGATGGACGGAAAGCCAGCCAAACTTTATCTTCATATCACCCAAGACTGCAAGTCCGTCTCGGCCTCCGACAAATTGGCATATGAGGAACTTGAGCTAATCCGAACTGGAAAAGACACACCCTCAACAGCCGATATGAACAATCAAAGCCGCGAGATGTCTGAAACTTCAGACACCTCTTTGATCAAGCGACCCAAGATTCAGCACGACTTCAGTCTATTCTTCAAGCATCGTAAACCAGATAAAGTCCAAGAAACTTATGAACTTTTGCTCAAAGCTTTGATTACTGGCCATGTGCCCTTTTGGTTCCTTCAAAATCCGTCTTTCCAAGCTTTTCAACAAAGTATCTCGATTACACCATACACTCCTGCCTCCCGATTCATCATGATGGATACGGTTCTTCCTTGACTTCATGCTGCGTATTCGGTCAAAACCAAGGCTGAACTCAAGCAACAAACCAATCTCACCATCTCGCTTGATGGATGGTCTGACTGCTCACGCAACAGTGTCTATGCTCTCCTCCTCCTTTGTGGTACAAGTTTCAAAAAATTGATCGATGTATTAGATCTTGATGATGTTCGACACACCTCTGAAAACATCTTGGTGGCTTTGAAAGACGTCCTCGATGGACAAGGTGTCACCTGGGAACAAATCGGTGCCATTGTCACCGATTCTCCTAGCTCAATGATCAAATTACGTGTTGGTTTCAAATGTCCCTTTATTTATACATTAACATTTCCAACTGACAATGTTTCCTTTACACAAAATGGTGAACACCGAGTTCAATCATGTTATTCCATTGGCATGTTGCTTACATGTATTCAATCACATTGCAAAAAAGGTGGTTGCACATGTGGATATGAAAGGAACGGTCGAAATCGATCGAGCACTAGTTAACTTTTTCAGCTCGTCAAGCTTTTGGAGTCACAAGCTGTTGAAATGGCGAAAAAAAGAGGGTGTTGCTCATGGTCTTTGTACATTCTGTGAATCTAGGTGGTATTCAATGGCTAAAGTTGCAATGTCCGTGGAAAGCCACGAAAAAGGATTTCAAAGCTGTCTTGCGATGTTAAGGGACAAATCGGTACCGACTTCGAACATCAACAAAAACATCATCATTGCAATTGAAAATCGCGATCATTTTACCTCAAACTCAATCCTGGTTAAGCTTCTTCGACCTATTGTGAATGCTATCGGCCAATTAGAAAAAGCAAACACCTCAGTTGGAGATATTTGGAAGGAGATCGGTACTGTCTATCAGCAACTTCTAGCGATTGATCTTTCCAGCTATCCACGATTCGAACCCTTCAAAGCTCACTGCTTGCAAGTCTTACACGAGCATGCCAAACTATTCAACGAACCAATATATATAGTTGGATTCTTCTTAAACCCTATGTTTCGTCAAGTTGCTGTTTCAAAGGCCTTTACAATCGATGATATAATCAAGATGATCATATCTTTAGCAAAATCCTGGAACTACAAGAAGGCTGATGCCTTAAGCCTTCGTGAGCAAGTGTTACACTACTTTAGCGGTGTTGGAATATTTCGTGTTTCAACAAAACGTAAGTGTATCTATTTTTCTTTGTAATATTTCTATTAACTGATATGTTTGACACTACAGTTAACCACCCAATCGACTTCTGGCTTGCTCTTCCAACAACTCCACAAACCTTTCAACTCAAAACCTTTGCGATCCGAGTGAACGAGCTTGTTGCCCATGCTGTAGGCGTTGAAAGCATATTCTCGATGATGGGTGCCACCAAAACTAAAAATCGCCATTCCATGAAGATATCTACTTTAAAGATGATCTCACAAATCGAGCTCAGTGTGAAGGATGAGCACGCCGCTGCTAAAGTCTATCAAAAAGATGTTGAGAAAAGCAAGAACAACAATGACGACACTCACGATGGAGCAATCTTCACAGGAATTGATGATTTACAAGAATTTGAGCAAGGAGTCTTTGCCCTTCATGCTTTGGCTGAAGAGGAAGACGATGAAACTCGTGACCACTGGGGATTCATTGATACCCTTTTTGATTTCACTAACTTCACTCGCAATCCAACCATAGACTCGATTAATAAAGATACCTCTAACACTCAAGGAGAGAGCGATAACGAGTCATGGGACATGGATGATATATGTATTTGACTACTCCAATAGTCTTTATATTTTGTTATATTTCATTTTATTTGTCTCGCGCCTCAGCCAAACTGATAGTTACTTTTTTTTGTCTTATTAGGGTGTTTTCCTACTTGTCTGACAACTTTTGCGACCCCAGCCAAACCCCTGATAGTTGTTTTTTGGCTCAATACATGTTTTTTTCTCGCTCCTCTGGCGCCTTTCGCGCCCCCAGCCAAACCGGGCGCGCCCAGCCTGTACAGGCGCGCCTCAGGCGCTCCCTTTTTGAAAAGTCGCGCCCACCGCGTGACACAAGTGAGCAATGAGAGCTGACAAGTGATCACACAGAAGGGAGATGAGTGGCTCAGAAAATTCATTCAGGTGTCGAGGTTTGGATCACATGGGATTGTTAAGAAATATCATGAAGGTCACGTTGAGCAGAAGAGCAATCCATAGTAGATTTTTCGCGCTCTTTGTGTCTGACCACTGTGTTGAGCCTCAAACTTAGACAAATCCTGTGGTCTTGTTTGTATGCATAAAGAGATGAGCTTCCATCCATGCCATTGAAGAACTGCCCCTAAACAGGCTGGCAGAATAGCCAAAGAGAGAGGAGTCGAGCGTCACCACATATCATCATAGTACAATTTATACACAAGGAGTGAAGTAGTGCAAAAATCTTCTTCGAAGAACAATCAATGGCAATCATGGAACATGACCCAAAGCTCTGTTGTAGTTTGATTCATTCACAAGATATTACCAAACAGTGAGGGACAGTGATGTGACTTCTCAAGAATAGGATAAACGGCAAAAGATATAGAACGTGTCTTTCAAATTCTATTATTTAACACCCATTTGATCATCATCCTGATTATACTGACTGATCTTGATATTTATATACTAAATTTCATTTATATTTGAAATTTGATAACCCTACCAGAGTTATTTCGACTTGGCAATGCTATTTGAATCGACAGATACCAATGTAACATGTTTGGCGAATGATTTGAAGCAAAACAAGCTACTGAATCTTTCTGGTTTATCAAAGTGGGGTATCTCTTTTGAATCATTCTCAATTAACATACTTGAAGTATTTGGTGGGACATGAATGATTGGTAAAATCATAATCCATTCTTGTGTCAAAGAACCATGTGATTGATATTTGGGCCAAAAGTGGTGTCGCTATAGAACTACATACTCCAAATTGATCAATTAATATAGCTGTCAATCCATTTTCTTTGATGTGGTCTTATTTCTTCAGCACGGGTCCCATTTGAATATCTTTTAATCCGATTTAATTTGGTGAATTGGGATGGACAAAGCTCTTCAAAAGGTATGATGAGTCAGTCCAATCAATCGAGTTTGAACTCCTCACCGTGAATTATTGGGTTGTGAATGTATGGATGATGTTCATGAATTGATTAAAAATACCAGAGGCCGTGGGACTTTGTTAAGTATGACCAGGAGCAGTGGAGGCTACCGGCTGCTACCGGGCAAAGGTTCGTTGTTAAAGTTTACAATCTGTCGGTGAATTAATCCTCAGATTGATTTGTGTATCATGTGATCCGATGATGACCTCATTGATGACCATGACGCCATTTCGCATAACAACAACACCTTGGTTTTACCATGAACAGATTGGAGAGGTTGTCGGTTAGATATAAATTACCTTGACTTCTCCTACTCTTTTCTCTTCTTTCATCCTTCCTATTCCTCGCGAATTCCTTGATCTCATCCTCTCACAAACTTTCTAAATTTCCATTCAAACCAAACTTCCCAAAATGTCTTCATCAAATGAACCTTCAAAAACTTCTGGAAACTTCAACAGCATCGTTGAGTCTCACTCACTTTCCTTCGTACTTACAAGTTGAAATCCTCATTTCTTCGCATAAGGCTGATTAATTGCACTTTATAACTAGGTGGGTGGTTTGAAAGAACAAGTCGGAGCTGCTGTCGGCAACCAATCTCTTGAAACATCTGGAGCCGAACAAAAAGCTAAGGGAGACGCTGAGGTATACGTTTGCCTAACTTGTTGATGTCGGGTTTGATTCTAACCTTGAGTTTGTCTACTGATAGTACAAGGCAGCACAGGCAGAGGGATACGTTGAGGGCACAAAAGACCGAGTAGGTGGAAAGGTGAGTTTTCAGAAGCCTCACCATACAAGACATGGTGATACAAGTGTACTAATGATTTGAGGTCACTCAGGTTGACAACATCGTGGGCGCTGTGACGGGTGACAAATCTAAGCAACTTGAGGGACAGGCCCGCAATGTATGTTTCATGAGCTCTTGCTTCACGCACTTTTTGAGCCCATCTAACTTTCTTGTTTTGGAATGGGTGCTTTTAGGAGAAAGGAAATGCCCAACAAGAGCTCAACTCTTAAAGATGATCGAAACTAGGTTAATTTCTTCATTATATTTCTCGATAGTTTCTGTTGAACTACTTTTGCTACGTGTTTTATTACAAGCAGAATAATGTCCTATCTAGAACACCGTTCTGAATCGCATGGATGAATGTAATATATACAATGTCTGAGTTATGACCTTTGAAATCTTCAATTATTTGGTACTGCATCAAATTGAGACTGTAGCCAGATCGTGGAGAGAGTCCCTAACACCCGAAAGGTCGTTGTGCTATAGTCAAATGACGCAAGAGTGGGTCTTTTGAGTCAGACAGCTCGTTCTCTTGAATAGACTTACACGCGCTTTCAAGATTCAAGTCAATTTTGCAAGATCGTACAAGGTCTATCGTCTTTGTCTCACCAATGAACTAAATCATGAGGGAAGTGCTTGGTTTGAACATAACCTGACAGTCAATAGCAGGCCAAAGGGCTGACCCGAATTGATGGGATTGACGATGCACGAAGCTGACCCTACATATCTCTCGTGAGCCTGTCAAACAGGACTATCATTCTGTTGCGTTGTTGTAGGCCATGTAGATCAGTAAATTCTTAATCCCATGTGTTGCGTCAATTATCGTTTCATACATTTTCCAACAAGGCCTCATTTTCTCGCATCGAACTGGAGTGACAGTCTGAGACGCTGGAGTGCGAGATCTCAAACCGGCTTGCACGATGTAATGTAATTAGTGCATTTGTTCTCTTCCTAGATCTTTCGAATTTCTCCTTCAGGAGTTTATAGGAATTTGAGAGAGATGGATTCGTTTGATTTGTGATTGGGAGAAGCGCGCATCTGGATCAGTTCGAACTGCAGAAATCAGGCCGTTTCGAAAGTGGGGAGAGGAGGTAATGAGGGATTGTCACAATTTTGGTTCTTTGTATGCTTGGAGGAGATAAGCTTTGGAGTGGTTGTTTATCGTTGTTCATGGGATTCGAGGGGATAAGTTGTAATTCTGACGCGCTGCTGGTCTGAGTTGCACAAACCGGTATGCCCATCGGATTCGAGCGCATCATCAGGGGTTTCACCTCAAGACTCACGAACCAGGTGGCTGATTGTCTCAAGTTGCGGTATCGAACAAAACTGTTTGGACGGATTTTTGATCGACCACCTCGATATGCATCGTGTTTCCATATCCATATGTAGATATCTTTCGGGATAACATTCGATGGAACAGTCAACCGTCTATCACTCAGACCCTATGAAAAGCATCAGTTTCTCGATCACTCAAATCGCGAGTCTCATGACTTACGGATTCATGTTGAAGTTCGTTTCTAATTTCATACGTTAAGGTACTTTCTTCAGAAACCGCATGCTGAATCTCATGCGTTGAAGTGCTCTCTTTAGACTTCACCACATCGGTCCCACAAATTTGGCGAGGAAGGGCTCCCCACACACCCAGAAGACGAACGATATTCGAATTATCGAGGGCAAAGTGGAGACAAAGGCCGAGATTTGTCACTTCAAGGAACTTTAGGGATCTCTCCGGTGTTTCAAAAAATGGGTAGGTGACCTTATATAATCGCAGCTTCATCGCGCCCAATGGAAAGCTTTCCCCAACCCACTCGCCTGTTTTGTACTCTGTCTACCTAGGCTTACGTTATGGCTCCATCAGAGATTTTAGTTCGCAGATCCATTATCCATTTTGAACACTCAATTTGAGAAATACAAAGCTAACTAGCTATGCTACTCTTTTGGATGGTTCTTGACAGATTGGAAGCGAAACGATGATGGATTCTGTGAGGGCAAATGGATATCAGTGAGCGGATCGATATCAGTATTTCTGTTTACCTAGTGTTGTCCATCCACGCCGAGAGCGAACACTATCTGACGTATCTTTCTTCCAGGAAACCGCCAGGAAAGATAGGAATGGTCAAGCCTGGGAGATACTGCACTCGATATTGTGAATAAATTTCAAGCAGAAGGTTTCAATTACTTGAAATTCTGATAGATTTTTTCCTAATTCTGATCGATTTTTCCCTCTATCACGTCAACATCTTAGTAAACCAAGAGCTGCCAAAATTAAAATTGGCAGAGAAAGGCATCGATGCTGATGGTGCATATCAAATCATCCATGATGTCAGTCTTCTTATCTCTTGAATTATAAGATATTCTTTAAGCTCGTAAAAACTGATGCGGTCTTTGTCTCTTGGGAGATATCATCAGATTTTGGATGGGGATGGGAAGGAAAACACCAACTTGGCGGCCTTTGTGCACACCTGGGCCCCAGTGAGTCACTCTCCACGTACCTCTTCTGAAAAGCGTGCTCTGGTAGTGTTTGTAACCTCTGTCTCCTTCATTATAGCCTCAAGCGACAAAGCTATGCATGGAAAACATTGGGAAAAATTTAATCGAGCAGGTTTGTATCACGCGTCCTTTTCTTTCTTCATAGCAGTGCAATCATAAATTGTCTTTCGCGTCCTGATATATTTTGTTCGGCTTTAACACTTGATCATCGGTTAGGATGAATATCCCAAGACAGAAGTAAGTTTTCCTCCACGGTCTTGGGATCTAGAAGAGGATCAAAACCTCCTTACAGCCTAATTACCTTGTAGGTTCTACATGGAAGATGTTTAAATATAGTCGCAGACTTGTGGCATGCACCGCAGTCTGTAGATGCTATAGGTACGAATTACGAAATTAGTATTTGAATTACTTCAGATCGGAAGCTCATTTTTTGTTTTGGATAGGTACTGCAACCACCGGATCCTCGGAAGGTGTGCTTTTGGGTGGCTTATGTATGAAGAAAAAGTGGCAAGATAGACGTAGAGCTGCTGGAAAGTCGTTGTACGAGCCTGGTCCGAATATTGTGATGGGTGCAAAGTAAGTCATCAGAATCTCAGTCGCAAATTCTACGAATCTTTTCCTTTGACTTATGCATAACGATGAACTACAGTGCTCAGATCGCACTGAAGAAATTCCCTACTTATTTCGATGTCGAGATGAGATTGGTGCCTGTTTCGGCAGAAACTAACTATTGCCTTGACCCAAGAAGTGCGATGGAATATATGTTAGCTTGACTTCCATATCACAAAGTTGAAAATAATTCACTTGCCGCTAATCTAACCCTCCTCACATTTTTTTCAGCGACGAAAATACTATCGGGATGTAAGCGTTGTTGATCAATTGACTAATGTTTTATACTGATGAGTTCATTTTTGATCTGCCCTCTAGTTTTATGATCCTTGGTAGCACGTATACAGGACATTACGAACCAATCAAGGAGATGTCAGACATCCTTGACATCTATGAGAGTCAGACCGGAATCTCAATTCCGATTCATGTCGATGCAGTGAGTACAAACAATTACTTTCACTTCGCTACCAGTTGCAATAACAGATGCTTACACTGTATGGCATGATGTGTAGGCTTCCGGAGGGTTTCTTGCTCCTTTTGTTCATCCTGACTTACTATGGGATTTCCGTATCCCAAGAGTGGTATCGATCAATGCCTCTGGTCACAAATTTGGTTTGACGTACATCGGCTGTGGTTGGGTCATCTGGCGTGACAGTGCACATTTTCCGGAAGATATGATCTTTGAAATGAGATATGTAAGTAGTCTCAAATCATGCAGAATGGCAAACGCTGTGTTTCGGTTCAGAAATGCTCACATACATTGGCCATTGGACTTATCCCTTCAAGCTTGGATCTTTACAATACTCTTTGTCATTAAATTTTTCACGTCCTGCACACCCTGTCATCAATCAATATTTCAATTTTCTTCAAATGGGCTTTGAAGGTTATAAGGCAATTGCTTTGGCAGATTTATCTAACGCAAGGTTATTATCACGAGCCTTAGAGAAAAGCGGGTACTTCAAAGTCGTCTCAGATGTGCATCGCAAGAAGACTGATATAGGAAAGCCCAGAGGGAAGACATTTGGCTGTACTGATGTAGATGTGAGAATAGATCTTCCAAATTGAGATATCTATTCATCGGTAGAAATCTGTTCTGAAACCGCTCATGACTGCAATAGTTCGAGGAATACGTCGAAGCCTTGCCTTTAGTCGCTTTTGGATGGAGTGATGAATTCAAGGCGAAGGTATGTTTTATCGCTCACGTGACCTTAATGCATGATTCTGTAGGTTGTCATCGAAATCACATTTTATCTTGCTCATTTTGTAGTACCCTCATCTGAAGCAGAAGTGGATTCAAAGTAAGCGGCTTTTACCGGTTCACATCTATCTCTAGAAGCTCTCAATTTTGATCATGAAAACATTGGAATGTACAAACTTAGCTTTATTGCGCGCAAAAGGCTGGATCTGTAAGTCATTTCAAACCGATATCTAGCTCCATTGGGCACCAGGACCTTTTAACTCATCCGAGGACTTGTTATTTCTGATTCGTCAGCGCCCAATTATGCACTCCCACCGGATTCCGAAAACGAAGAAGTCTTACGCATGGTGATTCGAGAATCTATATCAGAGGAGCTCATTGGTAAGCGCAAAGCTCTACAGGTATCTCTTTTCGCTATCACCTTGAGTGGCTAGCTGACGTAGTGAACCAGAGCACATTTTCGGGTCGTTGATTGAAATTACAAGGGATTTGGTTCGTAGCACTCTAATTGCTGAATATTTCTTTGGAAGTGTCTCACCCAATGTCTAATTCATGAATCCTCTTTTCCTGTTTACTTTGCATCATCTCAGATCAAAGAAGGTGGCCCTACCACCGCGTTGGGAAACGGTTGGCATGACTAGATCACTCCCTCAGAAATCAATCACAGAAAGCAGGAAAATGAGGTCTTGGAAACATGAAGGAACTTCACATTCAGTATGCGTTGAAGTGAAATAAGAAATTTGGGCTCCTGATCCAGTGCTTACTCACTGGGCTGTCAAGCTGCTCACCAGCGGTGTGATTAGGTTTCTCTTCATCTTCTTATATCTCATGTACGAATTAGGAATCAAATAAGACATGCAAATGCCACATAAACACGAATTTTTCTGTCTTTGAACGATAACTTCATTTGTCAGGTTTTCGAGGAGACACACTTGCGCGTAAGCTCAAAAAAGAATAATCAGGACATTCATAGAAATACAGGAGACTGGAGGAGGGTTAGAAATTTGGAAAATTGTCTCTCTTTTCCGAACAAACAAGATAAGAAAAAAGAAGGCAAACATCCTCCTGTATCCGCACATGACCTTTAAACAAGATAACAAACTTCATATATCACACTTCCAAGGGATAGAAGATATTTTGAGTGCATCTCTCAATACTGCCTGATATTAATGTTTAATTGTCATACAAAATAAAATCTCAAGGAAGTCATTCAGCCGATTCAGAACACTTGGCAAACCCATACAATGGTTCTTTCTCAGCTTCATCTTCATCTCCATCTTTTTCAATTTGTTCATGATGATTTAGTTTCTTGAATCTTCTACTTAAAGCGTTTCGATGAAAAGATTTATCTTGACTTCCAAGATACACCTGGGATGCCATCAAAACCTCATGGGCTCAGGATGGCCGAGGTGTGGTACATGAAATTGACCCTAAAGATAAAATTCAGCGTCACTTTCGAAGTTCTGAAAGTGTTCTCGTCACTGTGTATGATAGATGAAATCTCTGAGCCTGAAAGGTGTGTGAGATGACGAGGTAGACTTTCACGTGAAAGCAAAAGATCGCTTCATCCTTCATCACACCTCCCTATGAACTCAATATTCTTTTAGTAATCACAAAGATTGGAGATGTTGGGAAACTATGCGCAAGAGGTCAAATGGGGCACCACATATTTGGTTTGATGTCAAGGTTTTGTAGTCCACAAACACATGTTTGCCGATGAATTATCAATCACAAGGAGTTAAGCGAAACGAAAATGTGCGCGAAACAATTTATAGGCCTGTCAAGCAAGGAGGCTTTTTGTTGAGAAACACTTCAAAGGAGAACAGCGCAGTATAAATAAGAAAACAGAAACAGAAACAGAATTGTTCATTGTATCACATCAAAATCATTTGAGTTCATAAGATAAAATCTATAATGTGACACGCGCAGAAGGTCAAAAAATAAAGTCAGCATGAGAACAAATACAAAATGATGAATGATCAATAACAAACCATCATAAAAGTCCAGGAAAAGTCATAAAACGATTTCGAAGCTCAATCTGACCGCTCAAACAGCATTCGTGTCCTAAAATGCAAAGGAGACAGCAGGAGGAGAGGTCAGGATTCAAGAAACATAGGATCAATCCAAAGGAAATGAATTGAAAGACTTACTGATTTCAAGTCTTGCTCATTCAAGGTATATATAGAAGGGCCATAAAGACCGTTGAATCCACTCAGGTAGGAGTTGTAAAATCGATTGACGGCATTTGGGCATCCAAAGTACGAACCACAGTTCCCCCATTGGTAACCACTCCCGAAATAAGAGTTGCAAAGACCGGCAAAACCATTTGTATACATAAGACTGTTATAGTAACTGGAAGTGAATGGCATACCGCCTGAGAAAACATTGTTGATACCGCCAAAACACTTTTGTTGAATAGCTTTCTCCTTGATGCTGCCATCCGCAACAACCTCCTCAGTTCCCGCTCGACGAGTCAAGATAGCGGGAGGATCAAGACTAGAAGATCGCGTAGGTAAAGCCACAACAGCCTGGAAGACACACAACAAAGATAAGAGTGGGAGAGTGAAATGCATGATGAGATTGGTTTGTAAATGAGCTGATTAAAGACTAATTGAAGATTTTGATGTTAATAGTTGATAGTAAAAGGTCGTAAAGCTAGCACAGTTTTAGCAAGACTTTTGTAGTGAAGAGTGGATTGGATGAGGAGTGAGAAGGAATGAAAAACAAGCCTTGAGGTGCTGCTTTTATAGCCGAATCCTTTTGTCATGTTGAGTGATGAGGCATTGTACATCCTGCAGCTTTCACTCTGGTGGCCCCATTCGTCCCGGTGCGCTCCAAGTGAGGAGCAAGTAGAAAGCTACCCACCCACCCGGCCGATTGGTGGGAAGCTCCTGAGTCCTGCCGGTGCTGTGCTGCCAAGAATACTCCTTCGACCTATGACATCTATGTATTATACACCACGGTCCAATCATGACATCGGGCCAATATCAGGTGTTTTTTGCAACATCGGAAGGAGATGTGGCTGATTTCGGTTGATTGCTCACAGAGGAGGTGGAGGAGGTTGCTCCGATGAGAAGAGCTCAAGAAATTGCTTGACACCTTCCGGCGCCACCTCCTGTCAAGGATTCAGTTAAGAGATTTTTTTTTTTTTTTTTTTTTTTTTTTTTTTTTTAAGTGCTTTTGATTTCACATATTGCACTAATTGACTATTACTTTTTCTAAAATGAATGGCACCCCTGGCCCGAGAAAAAAATATTTTTCAGCGCCGCAGTCCCCGCAGCCGGTGCAGTGATGCATACAGAATCCAGATCAGCTGGCTGACGCGGCCTGCTGAGCACTGTAATTGGCAATCACTCACCGAACTCCCTCTACAATTGGCTTTCAACACCCACTTCCTCGACATTTTTCCTGACGCCTCAAACCAATTGCTTCATCGATCACACGTAAGTCGTCCTATCAGCTTTCTAGCACACCTATTCCACGTTGACTTATAACCTTTTTTCTTTTTCTTTTTCTTTTTCTTTGACTTTGACTTTGACTTTGATTTTGATTTTCTCTTCTTTTTTTGACCATGTAGATCAAAGACTACCCCAACTCCTTGTTCAAACCGACACCGTCATAAGCAAAGATGATACTCACTTTTGAGATGATTTCAAGTGATTGAGGGTGGTTATGAGTGATTTGGGGTGGTCTCGTACTTGGCCTATCTCTGGTACCAGACCACCATTTCCTTTTTTTTTACAAAAAATGTGTCCTTATGATAAGTTTTGCTCTAGGATATCATAACTCATGGTTCCTGTTAATGACTTTTCAAGTTGTAGTAATTGATGCTTATGCTAGTATTTGTTCTCAGTTCTTATTTGTGGTTGTGATGACTCACACTTTTTGTTTTTGTTTTGATCAATGCAAGTTCACTGTGTTCCAAAAGTATGAGCCTACAAACTGAGAAAGTCCCATTAATCTCACTTATGATCCAACATAAATGACGCCAAACAACTTATAGTTACTCAAGCAGAACATGATCCAGCTTATTGTCTTTTTCATTCTTTGTCGCATCGACAAAAAACTTTCAATTATATTGATAATCTCAATGTTTTTCAATCAAATCTCACTAAAATAGAGGATCCAGTATCTAGTTCGTTCATCCTAAAATCTTAACTGAAATGTTAAAAGTTGTTCAAATAAATATGAACAATTTAATCTGATGTTTTGTAGATAAGTTTGGTTTTGAATGGCAAATCAAACAAAAGTTTCCTTCTTTGCATTGATTTCTGAGTCAGACAGCACAAAAATCAAGAGACGTTCAAAAGTATTAAAGAGATTCAATAAAAAAGATACATCGGGTAAAGAAACAATTGTGATATCAATCCGATCAACAGAATGATCGTGTTCGTTAACTAGATAATAAAAAATTCAATTAAATCAATGAGATCTCAATCAAATGCCCATCCCTTCTCCGTGACCTGTAGCAAAACTAGACATATGACGGTCTCTGTTTGAATCGGGGTAGTCTTTGATCTACATGGTCAAAAAAAGAAGAGAAAATCAAAATCAAAGTCAAAGTCAAAGAAAAAGAAAAAGAAAAAGAGAAAAGGTTATAAGTCACCGTGGAATAGGTGTGCTAGAAAGCTGATAGGACGACTTACGTGTGATCGATGAAGCAATTGGCACTACAAGAAAGATAATATTTTCTGGGCAGAAAATTAAATTATTGATACACAAAAATATTGAGAGGCCAGGAGGAGAGCAAAAAATGAATAAAAATATGCATCTTGTTCCCTGCGTTGAGAACTTCACTCCGCATGTTTTTCCGTATTTTTACAATCCATATTGATAAGTGTACTAACAATCAACCTTCACAATCATCCAATTACAACCTGTAACAAGCACTGAAATTTGGCTCATTAGTGTTTAGAGAAACTTTTGATTTCTGAAAATACTCATAACTTTTTCAATTCCGGTCCAAAACGCTCGATTTTGGGTGCATTGGTAATCTGGAATTGTCCTCCAAATAGTTCATAATAGGACCACACAGCATGCTGGTCTTTTAAAAAAGATATCATCTTTTTTATACATTTGTACATACAGATCCATAGAATGATTGTCATACTAGCTACATAGTTCTTGATCTTATGAAAGTTCGAGAGGAAGAGTTAAGCTTTCTAATGCACTTAAAATCGAGTGTTTTGAGGCAGATTTGACAAAGTTATAGGTGTTTTCAGAAATCAAAAGTTTCTCTAAACACTAATGAGCCAAATTTCAGTGCTTGTTACAGGTTGTAATTGGATGATTATGAAGGTTTATTGTTAGTACACTTATCAATACGGACTGTAAAAATATGGAAAAATATGGAGAGTGAAGCTCTCACCGCAGGGAACAAGATGCATATTTTTATTTATTTTTTGCCCTTCTCCTGGCCTCTCAATATTTTTGTGTATCAATAATTTAATTTTCTGCCCAGAAAATATTATCTTTCGTGTAGTGTGGTTTGAGGCGTCAGGAAAAATGTCGAGGAAGTGGGTGTTGAAAGCCAATCGTAGAGGGAGTTCGGTGAGTGATTGCCAATTACAGTGCTCAGCAGGCCGCGTCAGCCAGCTGATCTGGATTCTGTATGCATCACTGCACCGGCTGCAGGGACTGCGGCGCTGAAAAATATTTTTTTCTCGGGCCAGGGGTGCCATTCATTTTAGAAAAAGTAATATGTAGGACTACTGTAAAAACTAGGAGTATTACAACTGCTTCTGAGGTGTCTATCATACCGGACTACCGAGCCTGTATCAAAGATGCTGAGTGAAAATGAAGCGCGCCCGAAAAAAGGAAAGAACAAAATGTACAAAGAATTTAGAAAAGATAATAGTGAAAAACATAGCATAAATTTTGAGTCTATCATTATGAGATCAATCGTCTAAGTAAGTCTTAAGATGCGTAAATCTGCCTGTTTCTTGTATGAATTGTGCTAAGTACGGGAAGACTTTGGGTGTGTCTAGGATGGCGCTGGCTGAGTTGATGTTAACTTTGATCTTCTCTTTCTTAAGTCTTGTTCTAAATTTTTGGCGTTGTCTTGAATATTTCTTGCAATAAATCAAGAAGTGTGCCGGTGTTTCTGTTGCTGTACAACCTTCGCATCTGTCGTTTTCTTCAACTCCTATCCTGTGTAGGTGTTTCCTCAGTGGGCAGTGCCCACATCTGAGTTGGAATATTGCCGCCGCATGACCTTTTTCTAGATTGTTCAGTGCATCAGTTATCCATTTTCCCTTAGTTTTATATGAAGCTTTAGGGGAAGCCGCTCCCCTGGTATGGTATAGATTTCGTGTGTGACGTAATAGACTTCCCAAGCTATAAGGCAGCATCATACGTTCAGACTCGCCCTCCGCTGCTTCCTTTGCTGTGATGTCGGCTCGTTCGTTTAGCTCAATCCCCTCATGGCCTGGTGTCCAGTAGAGTCGGATTTCGAATTGGGGAGGAATTGTCCTGTGGGACTTGAGAAGGAATCTTGTGAGGTATTGTAGCGATTTGGGTTGTAGGGGTTTGGCGAGTAGGTCGAGCGCCGCTTGACTATCACTAAAAATTGCCAGTGACGAGAATTTGTCAGGATCTTTATCGACAGCTTGTTTAAATTGGACCAAAGCAATCATAAGGGCCATAGTTTCCATTTCGTAATTTGATATTCCTTCTATTGGTCCATAAGCGTGACTGGCGGTCAGCCCATCCATGGCTATTGCTGCTCCACCTCCATGATCTGGGATAAACGACCCATCTGTGAAGATCACACAGGCTTTGCGTTCTATTTCATCGTTGATCTGATCTGGGATCCTTTCTACAACTTCTTCTCTTTTGCTGCCAACGTTATCGACCTCCCATCGTGGTTCTACCCACGGAGGTTCCGGGTAAGGGTAAATCGTTTCTATAGTGTTGTTAAATGGTAGGATAATGTCAGTACGGCGTAGTAGTCTATGTATCGGGCTTTTGTGCGTAGCTGGTATTCGTGCTAGTTCGTGGTGTAAGACTTGTCGTGTTGGATGTGTTGATGGTGCCGTAAAGCGCTTGTAAGCAAAGTTGTGATGGTATCGTATGGCTAAATCTTTAAACGTGATCATATCTGTGTCATGATGCATCTGGTCTGATGGTGAGCTTTTGAAAGCTCCCAGGATTAGCCTGTTTGCACCGTTTTGTAGTAGACTGAATATCTTGGAGACTTTACCTTCAGTTCTTGTGTTGAACCATACAATGCTCCCAAACAGTATTTGGGGCTTCAGGATGGCCGTTATTAATGTCTTCGTCTCTTTTGCGCTTAGGCCATGGTAGCATCTACTGATTCGGCTGAGTTGTGCTAGTGTTGCTTTTCCTCGTTGGTGCATACGTCGAATGTGAGCTTTGTACGACAGCTTGGGATCTAGCCACAGGCCCAACCACCGGAGTTCGTCTGTTTTTGGTGTTAATACCTGGTTTCCAAATAAGAGTTGGGGGTTAGTATGTTTGCGATGTGTGAAGTGCATGACTTGGGCCTTTTTCTGGTCGAAAATTGCTCCGTGTCTCCTTCCCCACTCAAGAGACCTATCCCCTTCTTCCTCTA